CGAGACGTTCTTGTTCTGGTGACTGAAGTGAAAAAAACTAAAGACCTGTTGAGCAATCTATGAGGATCTGAATGCTCACTGTTGGACATTTTACTAAACTGTTTGTTATAGTGCCTATCTGTCCATTGTTACACAGTGCCTCATATTCATAAAACACTGGCAGCCAAGTCTACACCTATGTCCCCCCCTATAAAGCAACACCACAGCTGTAATGTATCACAGAAGTCTTTCAGGAAGGTTATTTAAGAGCAACTAGGTAACTCAAATGGATCCTTTTTAATATGTAACAGGACACAAGATCAATACACTTATTGTGGCAAAAATGGCCCTATAGGAGGAGGTGCAGATTTTTTTTTCAGAATATCTGACTGGAAAAGCACATGTCAGGCTTTTATAACAGCCAAAACCTGACCTGCTGGAGGACAGCTGTTATTCTCTCTCTTTCCGATCTGTTTACTTTCACTCTAGTGAGTACTCAGATGGGTATAGTCCTCATAAACCTGAGTAGCATGGGGCTTATCAGAGCTTCTGTATTGTCAAGTAAACTGAAAGCTTTTGTGTGGGGTGCTATTTGATCTCAGGTTAACCCTTGAATGCCCGGACCCATTTATACAAAGGTGAAGTATATTGTTATGAGCCCAGATCCCTAGAGTAGCACTTCCACATCTCCAGCCTACCCAGGCATGACGAGTTTGGGGTTAAAAGTCGTTTCCTGTTGGTGTGATCTCTTTGACAAACAGGAGCTGTGGTGCTGTCCTCAGAGCCACAACACCTCAAAGCTTTCGCCTCTTTTTCTCATTTGTTCCTTCCTCAGTTCACGGTGCATAAATTGAGCTACTTAAGAGAACCCCATTAACAATCTGTTCCTAGTTCTTCAGCTGCTGATGACTGAAGACTGGCAATAAAACATTTAGAAGTCCAACCCTCAGGGACTGGGCCGTGTCCCCCGGGTCAGTATTTAAACTTTGCTCCCAACAGAGCTGCTGAAACGCCCATGAAAGTGTTCTGAATACTTACTGTTTACGGAGTTGGCCAACCTTGACCCAGAAGAGCCCCCATCCAGAAGGGCCTTACGGGTCATTCTTAAACACACCATTGGCAAAGACCAGCAACAATTCTGATGCGCTGAATTCACACGAAACCCTAAGCACTCCATGGCTTTAAAGACATCGTTCGTGCCTGCAATTACTGAACACATGAGGTGCTGAAATGGATTAAAAATGTCGATATGATCCAGGTTTGATAGAAAGCGATGTTTTAGCTACCACTTCCAAGTATGGAGACCGGAGGGGTTGGGGGCGACATCTTGTTTATTATACTGCCTTATCAGGCAATAAAAATGCAACTCGTCCCAAGAAATGCACATGAGGGACACAGCCCTGGGCAACGAAAATCCAAAGTTTTAAAACATTGCGTTTTCTTGAGTGTGAGTACCTAAACAGAGCGTTCTGTATATGATTAAGGTTGTTGTTGTTTTTTCTGAGTCGGGTTGATTTATTACAAGTATTAAATGACTGGCGTGCTTTATTTCTGCCACGGCTGCAGGTGGTTTCAGTGCTCTTGTAAAAGCCACAGGGCTGGGCTCTTCCACCGCTGGATCGCTGTGCTCATAACGGGACTTTTCCCAAGGAGCAGAATCACTTACAGAAACATGGCAAGAAAGAAAAGAACAGCCGGCGAGAGCAGGATTTCTAAAAGTGAAAATGTTAAGCTAATGGATACGCTCGATTCACGGTCTGGATTCAACTAATCCGAGATCGAGCGTTTGAAAAAAAAAATCTATTTTACACACTGATCTATCAATTGACAAATAACTAAAACAACGAGTTCTTTAAAAACTCCCAACATCAAACGGAGCCTTGATAACTATGTTATCTATAATCTCATTTTAAATAGTGGTTCTGATGTTATACGTTTTAGATGAATGCATGTCATATCTACCATATATAAGCCTATAATAACCCATATATAACACTAAACTCTAAACTCAGTAAGTCTTAAATCCAGCTCTCGCTCCGACCAAATGTTGTAGCCTACGGTATTGATTTTTTTTTTAACTACTCGGTTCCAAAACCATGTTATTAAAGAAAGCGGCTACCAAAAAAAACCCTCTAGGAATCATGTAGCGCAGCAGAGGCAGAATGAACGAGACAAGCGAGCCTTTGTCTCGGAAGTCTGAACGCGCAGACCTTTTAACCACAAACTATTCCAGTCACTCGCCGGGTTGTAGCCCCACACGCCGGGCGGGGAGAGCTGTGCCGGGTCGGTTATTTGGGAAAGGCTGCTTCTGACAGCCAGCCTCTGCGCGGAGGGGCTGTGAGAACGCTTCCGAGCGCACACGGCGGACGCGCAGCTGAGACGGAAACCCAAGGCGCTCGGAGCTCGGGTGAGATGGAAAAATTCGAGGCAGGCAATAAATTCAACGTCCTTACCCTTCGCCTCACAGGACAGGACGAGAACTAGCGCAGCGAGGCAAGCCGTCAGGGACTCCGCGTTATGAAACATCTTCATCGGGCACTCCTTCGAATCTGGAAAATTAAAACGGCAATCAAGAAAAGCAGACGCAGCCTGGGCTTGACGTGATTTTAACCTTTTAAAAGAGACCGCACAACCCTGCAGGTACGTCAATATTTGAGGTTGGTCTTACAGAACCTGGACATATGGTCACTTTTAAGGAAATGATTAGATTTTCACTCATGGATAATCGTGTAAAGTCACATTATTGATGCTTGAGGAATTACAGAAGCCGCTGATCTGTGCCAGGAGACAAGCGCCCAAGCGCTCACCTGGCTATTACCTAAGGCTGTGCTGAGTGGCATAACCCAGCAATGATATCTCTGCCATTATCAGGCTAAAAACCACAAAAAAAAAACACGAAGTTAAAAAACAAAGAGTATCGAGCTGAATAAAAAGAAATAAAATCTACATTCTGTCTGAGTGGCAGGAGGCGGTTTCCTATTCTTAAAAAGCTTACCTCTTTTTCAAGAAAAGCGTTTCCTAACACCGTGTCAAGTCTTCACTCCTTCACATAGATGCTGCACATTTTTATAAACTCATTGTTGTCCCCGGTACTGCTGCTCGAGTGCCCTGCGCCTCTCCGAGCTCGGAATAAACACCCCAGCATCCTTTCCTAAGATTTAAAAAAAAAAAACTTTTCCTTCCACAGCTTCACAGCTGGCCGAGCGCTCCTGGCCAATCACAGCGCGGCCGGAGAGCCGGGGATCATCCGCACCGGCCTGCGGGGCGGCACAGGGCGAGCGCCCCCTGCCGGCCAGCGAGGGCAGCGCCCAACGCGCTCGCAAGGAGCTCGACGCAAAAGCGCTCCGTGTCACCGCCGAAAGAAAACTTTCGAATTAAAAAAAATAAACTATTTCGATAGGTCAATACACTTTGACAAATTGTCGATACCATTGGTATCTCCTGACAGCATTTCAATTGCTTGCAAGCAGCTAGAAATTGAACCGGGACCGGGAAGAGCCACACTAATAAAGGAGTTCTTTGTTGGGTGTTTGAAATCTACCTCACACCTTACACTTGGAAATAACTTCCAAACGAACTGTTGCAATGTGTATTGCGACACCTAATACACATTGTCGTCACATGTTAACTATGCTACCTAATTGTATTACCAGACTTGACACGTTTATGTCAACTGATGTTTTAAACATTTAAATCACAAGGAAACCAATTAATCTACCTTGGGATCATCTTTTTAACCTCATTTTCTTAAAGTAAACCGATTTTAAATGAAGTGTGCTCGCCGAAGTGTGCTCGCCATGTAATCTTTTGAGTCACGTTGAGAATTACAACCTGGTAAACAACATACTATCAATGATAAAACAGGTCTAGCAGTCATTATCGGTTGTTGTCCAAGGAAGGTTCGTTTTTAACCAACTTAAAAAAATATATTTTAATTGATAAAAAAAACACCCCGTGCATCGATGCCTCATTTCACTGAAATATTGCCCATATAAGGAGTATTTCCCAACACAACAAAGAAAACCCCTTTTGGACAACAGAAAAACTATGTTCTTTCAATGTAAAGACAAGGAGCTATGAATTGAAGGGTTCACAGAGCTACATTTCACCTACTGGAACCTGTAACCAACCCAACTATAGATACAGCCGATTAGAAAAAGAACTATCCGTACTCGACAGACAAAATCCGCCTAAAGATCTGTCGATGTACCTACAGACTGTATTAAAGAGCGCTCTTCTTTCCTATAGTCCTACAGCGGTCGAACGGCGGCAAGGTTCTGACGCGGTTCGGGTCCTTTCGGGGAGAGAGATCATCGCAAGCGAGGGTGTCCGGTCCTGGCTCTGACAGAGCCGGTGGAGCGGGATTACCAAGGGCTGGGAGAAGCGGTTGGATCTGCAAAGAGCGGAGTTGCAATAAAAAACCCGCAGACACACCGGCTGTCCGGCGCCAGGTTTGAACAGCCCTGGGCTACAGCCGCCGACGGGCCGGGGATCGCTCTCCGACTCGCGGATATTCACGATGCAGTCAAGATAGATCATGAGAGGCGTGTGGTACACATGGCTGCAATAATGTATTGAGAAGGGATTATAAAAGTTCACAAACGCCTGCCCATAAATTCCTAACCCTTGAGGAAGAATAGTCCTCATCTGAGCCAATAAACCATTCAATACCATCAGAATTTTAATTTTCAGCGCTGGGGCTGAAGGCTTTCTTGCGAGTGCAACAGTACTCTACTACCTGAAGACGGCTCCACGGCCGAAACGTTGTTCTTTTTTCAGCATGGAATAAACCTATTACTTGTTCAATTGCAGTACTCGCCCCCATGAGCAAGATGCTGCTTTTGGCAACTGAAATGGGAATAATGGGCTCAGAAACAATAGAGCTATGCAACAGCACGCATGGAAAGTTTTATTCAGATTCCTTTTTCGATAGCTCCCCTGACTTGGGATGAATCATGAGCTTCCCACACTTCACGAATCACAGCACGCATATCCATGGCATGAAATGAAATAGTCCAGACTTGAAACAGAGTGTTTTATTGACAGTTTTGAATTTCAACACTGAAGATCCATCAGGTATGTAAACGGGTTGATCAGTAACAAGCACACCGCATTCTCAGATTTCAACACTGCGAAAATAAACCTCCATGCAGCATGGGATGAAGACTCGGGCTTCTCAGCTTAACTCAGCTGCCCCTTGACAGAACATCTACAAAGAGAAACGGAAACAAGACGCAGTTAGGAGAAAAACTCAAAGATCACACACACTTCAGAGAACAGGTCCTGCTTCCCACGGGCACAGCTGGCAGGGGCTCAGCCTCAGAACCCTGAAACACGGGACAACCGAGGCCCAACTGGCCCAATCTAGATCTCCCACCAGTCTGAGTGGCCGATTTTTCTGCTTTTAAAGCACCATCACATCAGCAAAGAAAAGACACAGGACATTGAAAAAGTCAAATGAGCTGTATCAATATTCTTAACCATGTATTGTCAGGGAGCACAGTGGAAGTGGTTAACACAGGGCTCAAATCCAGACCTGGGGTGCTGTCTGCATGGAGTTTATATATTCTCACCCTGTACTTACGGGTTTCCTCCCACAGTCCCAAGACATACTGGGAGGTTAATAGGCTTCTGAGAAAACTGGGTATGGTGTGACCGCGTTCCCTGTGATGGACTAGCGTGCTGTGCAGGATGTACCCTGCTTTTTGCCCGTTGCTTGCTGGGATGGGTACCTTATAACAATACCTAGAAGAACTGGTTAGAAAATGGATGGAGGTATTGCATTACCGGGGTTATTAAAAGAACTTGTATGTAAATGTAACCCTAAATTTACCCGTTGGGCAACCGTACAAAAACTTCACGCATGCAGCTGTGCGAAGTCTCAAACTTACAGTCCAGGTGGAATGAAAACAAACAGGTTAACATTTGCCGTGTCCCAGATCTTCTAGTCAGGTTATAAAGGAAATGGGTCCCATTTTAACCTGTGCCAAAGTCCTGGCCATTATTTCCCCAAGAGTAAAGGATCATAACAAGGAAGTTGCCTCTGCTATGAGTGTACAGCCTTGGGTTTGACAAGAACGACATGGTAGGGTAGCTGTAGCTAGGCCACCCCAGGTGCTTGAGGTAGGCTACCTTGCGTGGTTTCCATAGCTCCACTCGCACAGTGCAGTCACCTCTCAGCAAGTCTCAGTGGGGCACCCTCGGCATCCAACACTCCTGCAGAACAGAGCGATTTCACCGTAAACAACCCTGAACGTCTCTCCTCTCCAGACCTGTGAAAGGGCCATCCACGAGAACGACCACAAACCTCAATGATCTCGACTCTGATCACAATCCTTTTCATCTCTGAACATTTAAAATCAACAGCAAATATAGATGATTAAATAAATGAGTACCATCAATCCAGATGAGAGAGAGAGAGCACACACACATTTCCATCAAGATAAGCTCATCAAAAGACAGTGCAACCATTTGACCGGTAACGCAGGAAACCCAAAAGAAGCAATTCAGAGCAGAAATAACCACAGTTTCTGCACCCCAAGGGGGTGGTGGCCAGAGGTGGTGTAATCTCTGCCATTGGCCTGCATGAATAGGAACGGTCCTGCTCTTCACCTGAAAGAGCCCTTTTAATGTTTCAGACTTTGTGCAGAAAAAAGGCTGATGAACAAAAGAAATGTAGAGATATTTACATACAAGTATGTGAGCTCAGCTTCTCACATGCTGGTGAAATGCACATCAACTTCCCTTGTCAAGGTTTAATAAAGCCTCTTCAAAAGCACATGGGCAAAAAGATACCCTAGTTTTAAACCACACCTGCTGTGGAGAGATTTATACCGCAGTGTAGAGAAATGTCTCTTGTGGATTCTTAAAAATCAACAGATCTAGGTGGCGCTCTACATCTCCTCAGAGCTGGGCAAGATCAAGCTGATTAATTTATTTGTTCTCACTATGTCACAGCACTGACAATCCCGAGAAGGGCAAGAAAAATTAGGGCCCCCCGGTGTGACAGACAGCTGGCATATGTACCTAAAGGATGCCACTTAGATTTATGGTGTTTTATTTATGAAGGGGGAGAACTCATCACACTAAGTATCGTGAGGGCTTTAAATGCATACCTGCCAAGAATGAAGGCTGCAATGACAATCAGTATGATACCATCCTGGCACCGATACAAAATCACATTCTTGGTTTCCTCAAACAATGTGCAACGATTTATATATATAAAAAAAATCGTTGATAATCTTAAAATCAGAGCACCTTCGCCACAGACTCACCTGGATTGCCATTTTGCAGACCTCAGATCCCTACAGGATCGCATCCTGATCAGCCAGTCCTACAGCAGCAGAATCACAAGAATGTTTTATTAGCAGCCCACAAATACATCATCATTTTCTCAATACGCCAGTCACAGACACTTTTCAATCCCTCAGAATCTAGCCCCCATTCCCCAGTCAGGTTACGGGGTGCACGGCCTATTATAGCCGGTGTTGGAGAGCAGCCCACTCTCAGAGGTGCGGAGAACCAGGAAAGGCTTCGTGTTCCCCTTTATAAGGGGACCAATTAGGTAATCAAGCCTCAAGTAGAAAGAAAACCAGAAACCCTCTGGCCCTCCAGGAACTGGAGTTGTGCACCCCCCTCCTGTCCAATACGCAAGCAGAATGCATGTGAATGAAAAGCCCTAAAACGATCTAACCGCACCTCTACACAGCATTTTGAAACATGGAGAAATGTTAACAGACGTACGGCTGATGTGAAAATCTTCACCGAAATAAAAGCAGCAGCTAATTAAGGCCACCGGGGAAAACAGTCCTTTCTAACCTTATAATCTGTGTGCCCCCAGACTAGGGCTGCCCCCAGTGTTGGGGGGCAGCCCACTCTCGGAGGGGCAAAGCACTGCCACAGCCCGGCACCAGCAGCCGCTAAAACAGCGCCTCCTAGAGCCCGACCACACAGGCAGCGCCTTCCTCTCCCAGCGGAGTAACACCGGCGCAGGCACGGCAGCACGCCTGCGCAGCTGACTGCCGCTGGGATGACACAGCAATGGGGGGGGGGGACGGCACGAAACTGCACCTGCGCAGAAGTGGAGAGACGCGCACCTGCTCCCACCGCGCGAACAGTCACCCAGGCAGTAGAGACCACGGCCGCCATCTTGACTTGGGCGCCGTATGCCACAGGCAGCCCTCTTCAGGTAGGGTCCACCAAATCCCAGCCATCTAGAAAGAGACATTGTTTTTTTGTTTGAGAGAACCTTGTAATCTTAGTCCATAAAAGCAGGCGGATGCTGCACATTAGTGGTGGTGGTGGAGGGGATCCCCATTACCTGTAAAGCACTTTGAGTGGAGTGTCCAGAAAAAGCACTATATAAGTGTAAAGAATTATTATTTTAGGAGAATCAGAAGAATCTGGGGAAATACATGAGGGTCAGAGTAGGGGTGTCACCCTGGCATCCTGGCCAAATTCTCCATTGGCCTTTACCAATCATGGCCTCCCAATAATCCCCGTCTATAAACTGGCTTCATCACTCCCCCTTGTTCTCCTCCCCCACTGAGAGCTGGGGTGTGGGGAGCGTACCGGTGCATCATGCGGGTGGGGCTGCACACCGGTGGTGGTGGAGGGGATCCCCACGACCTGTAAAGCGCTGCGAGTGAAGTGCTACGCGAGTGTAAGCACTTGTCATTATTTAGGTCCATTAAAAGCGACCGCAGCTCTATATTACGTCACTTTCACATGTCAGACTTTCGCCATGAAAACGCAGTCTAGGGTCACATTAGTTTGCACTTAGTAGCGACTGCAAGTTGTGCCCCATCCCAAGCTCCCCAGTCACGAAACGAGCCGAGCAAAGATCGCATCGGTTTAAAAGGGGGTGATGGACGCTGCGAGGGGCCACCCCGGGGCAGCTGTCGGCGGAGGAGGAGGAGGAGGGCAGGGTCCCAGCCCGATCAAAAAGGACTCCGGCTCAGGCGCCAGCGGAGACACCAAGGCGAACCGACTCCAAGCCAGCAGGCGGGCAGCCCACAGGCTCCGGGCACTGACCGGTCAGAAAAGTCAACCCTACCCTGGCTATCAAGAGCAAGGTCACAACCCCCACCCCCACCAAAAAAACAACTTTCGTTTACTGCTTTGGCTGAAAAGCAACTAAAAGATCCAAGTAGCAAACCCCTACATTTTAGAAAAATAAACGGGAAGGTTTTAAATTGCTTTTTAAAACCAGCAGTCTCAGTTAGACACAACGTGGAGGCAGTGTGCGTGTTCACTATTCGCCACAGCTTCCGCGGGGGGGTTAGGCAGCTCTCTGAGCTGTCCGTCGATCTCAAGCACTTGCAAGACCCTCCCGACGGAGCATACAGAGGGAACAGCGGGTTGTACACATTATTTCCGAAAGGAAACTTGTTTCAAACACCGTTTCGAAACCTCGCTGCTACACGCGTCCGGACCAACAGAGCGGTGTAGAGCAGGGAGCCGCGACATGCGCCTTAAATCTGAAAATATCGACGTCTTTAGACTTTAAAAGAAAAAAAACTTAAGGAGTACCCAAAGAACTAAAAAAATAAAGACGCGTTTTTAATCTTCTATCAAAGCTAGCTTACGTTATATACAGTCACTATGAAGTAAAACGCAACAGGCGATGAACTTAACTGAACACGCCAGAAACAAAAGCGAAAACAAATTAAACACAGACTAAAACCTGTTGCTAGAAACAGAACGGGAAAGGAGCGCCGCACAATCTCAAAAAACAACAGCAGCGAGTAAACAAAATGAATAAGGCAGGTATTGGCTAAAGAAACTCACCTTCCTCCTCAACTTCTCCAACTTCCATCTCAAGAGGCCGACAGTCCGGCGCTCTTCGCTTTTATAGCGTACCCGCGCACCATCGATATTGGCACCTTGATAGGTTGGTTCCGCCTGGAGAATTCTGGGATACGATCACACCGCAACCTCCGAGAATACTCTCGGGTGCGCGCGCTTAACGGTGGTAAGATGTCCATTTTGGTTCTTCTCCTGTGCTCCTATAGAGCCAACATGGCGACCATTGCGGCACTTTCAACATGTTGCAACAAGATTCAAAGAGTGAAAGCTAACAAAGCTTCCACATCGATGCACCCAGTTAACTTTTTTTATAACATTACATAATTTCACGAGCAACAGTTAATGGAGTTTGTGGGAAAAAAAGCAATTTGCACCAAGAGGTCAAAACTAATTATTTAAATTGCACCTTGAACTCTCCCAACATCCAAAGGTTGGTTCAGGCTGATACTGGAGCCCGTGGTTATGTAGGAAAAAAACAAAAATATGCCCTGAGACAGTATTATTAAATCCAGAGGGGAAAAAAGGACTAATTCATCTTTCATAATGAAAAGGCCACTCACATTTTTGAAATTTTTAAATCTTGAATTTTATTATAAAACTCTACAGTGAAAGAATGTAAAGGCATTTCAGAAGCTGTTGACAAGTTAGCTCAGACTTACAAAGCTTCCATAACATACAGTAACACACCCACCCTCCCAAACCTAAAATGTATACCATCCCTAGCATAACTCAACATTTCACACACCTCAGGCATCAAATGCAATAACGGGCCACAGGTATCTTCCAGGTGTGTTTAATTTCACCCCACCTAGCAGACTTGTCAAGAGTTTTATTCACTGTGAACCCTCATTTCGAAACCAAAGATGCGAATTCAAAAAGACGTCTGTCATTCAGATAAGAAATGTGAATCTTTAGGATTTTATATTTTATATTTAGGATACATGTTTCTTCAATCACCATGTTTTGTTTTTGTTTGTTAAACAAAGAATCACCGCTTCTCCTCGGTCATATTTTCATTCAGAAATGAGTCTGGCTACAGGCTGACATAGCGGACAAGAGAACAGAGTGTGCGTGTGGGGGGGGGGTTAATAAGACGCCTCATCAGCTATTCATCAGATGGCTGGGCCGTTTTCAGGATGCTTTAGGAATCCGAGACCTGCTTCTCCCGCAGCGCTGTAAATGTCTTTGAACAGCCCTGTG